TAATTTTAATAAGAAATAATTTTTATTTTTATATTAAAATAAAGTTTATTAGTTGTAGGTTAACATATATTTTTTTCAGATTTTTTAGATTTTTTCTGAAAGAGTTTCTCTAATTGTAAAGTTAATGCAAAAATTTTTACTAATTAAAATGAAATTTAATTAATAAAAATTTTTGCACTAACTTTACAATTAGAGAAACTCTTTCAGAAAAAATCTAAAAAATCTGAAAAAAATATATGTTAACCTACAATTAATAAACTTTATTTTAATATAAAAATAAAAATTATTTCTTATTAAAATTATAAATTTTTATATAGAGAAAATTTAATTTTTACTATGTTTTATTAGTAAATTTAGTCCCTAAGTCTTTACTTTTGGTTGTCACTGTATATATATTATATTAATTTTATAAATTTTAAAAAAATATATTTATATAATAAATTTAAAAAATTAGATATAATATATTTATAAAAAATTAATTATATTTTATAATTTAATATATATTTTTTTTTAAAATATTAATAAATAATTTTTATTTTATATCAAAATAAATTTTATATTTTATAAATTAATATATAATAACTTTTATAATTATGAATTTAAAAGATTAATTTTATTAATAAAATATAATAAAAGTAATTTATTTTATAAAATATCTTTAAATAATAAATTTATAAAATTGAAAAATTTTTAAAATACAAATTCATAATTTTATTATAATTATAAATATAACTTGAAATTTAATATTATAATAGCTCAAAATTATTAAATATAATATTACAATAACTCAAAATTCATAATATAATTCAATATCAAATTAATTATTTTATAATTAATATAATTTTATAAATGACAAATATCATTTTAAAAAAAAATGATTTGTCATATAACAACTTGTCATTTATTTTATGCCAACACTGTGACTGTGTATGTATATGTATATATGTATGTGTATATGTATATATATATATATTAGTAAAAAAGATATATACTAAAGAAAAAATAACACCCAAGATAATGATGATATGAAGAGAAAAGATAAAGTATATACTAATTATAAGAGATGCACCGACTAATCATTCACAAACTTATTTACGTGCGTGATAATTCAAGAGAAAAGAGTTGATAACTATAAACAAGATGATATTTGAAAATAGTAACTATTATGATTATAATTATGATTATTTTTGACTTTGGATGGATTTTTGATTTTTTTTTACTCCTCTTCACTATCGACCTCTGCTTCTGTCATCACAATATCTCCATCACCATTAGCACTTCCATCATTGCTACTACTTCGTTCCTCAATCTCACGTGTTGGCGACTGCGCAACGCTGGTATTATTTGTATTTGTTGAAGCCGAGGTACCATTTGTCGTGCCACTACTTCCAGTTTTTCCATTCGTCGCCGTCGTCGTTGTAGAAGTAGCACCAGCTCCACGAGGGCCAGCGCGTTTACGACCACCGTTATTTCGTGTTTTCATCACCTCGAAATTTTGCGTGGTGTATTTTTTGCAACGTGTTGCGTTCGGCAAGTCCTGAATCATTTTACGGATGGTCGCTTGCGAGAAACCAAAGTAATCGGGACCGGACGCGGAGTTTGAATGGTCGCGATGACGGATGGCATTTGCTTCGCGAACTACTGTTGTCCAGGCGCCAGTTGCTGTGTTTGCTGTGATTGGCTTGCCTGGTTGATCTTCGGCTTCAATTACGAACTATTATAAACAATTATTAATGATTACGCTTTAGAATAGATCATTTAAGTTGATGACATCAAGGCTTACTTACCCTTGGACCTTCACCACCATCTTCAATTTTGCATGTGTACATTGTCTGTGCATCTGGATTTATCATACTATTATATGATCTGTCGTTAAAGAATGAGAATTAGCATTCCATTAAGATCTCGAACGCAACAAGTATTTGATAACAACATCGTCAATTAAAATTCTTACCGTTTAACAGCATAACCCACTGGCCAAATATACCTCTCATTATGAAACGACTCACGATCATACACCACCGTGCCCAAATTAATCACCGTCAATATCCCAATCTGTACCGGCAACAAATACTGTCCACGCTCATCTTTCGCCACATGCTGGACTTTCATAGTTTTCGTGTTTAACGGGCGTTTACTCGCGCGTTTTTGTGGCACAACTTTAGCAGGCGGTGTGTGAGTTATGGGGACTGTATTCACGATGTTGTTTGCTGGTGCAGGTGGAACTAATTGTTGCTGCTGCTGCTGTTGTCGTTGTTTGTTTTGTGATGTTGATGTTGTTACGAGTGTTGTGGAGTGTGTGTTGGAAGGTATAGAGTTATTGGTGCGTGGACGACCTGTTTTCTTTGCGGCAGTGCGAATCGATGGGACTGATGATGCGCGCGAATTTGCTTGTGAGGATACTAATTATTTTGTAATTGATCATTATTAGAAAAAATTTATAAAAATAGACCAAAAAGCGCGTGACGTAATCATTGTAATTAACGAAAAAACTCACATTCAGAATCACTAGATTCAATAATAGAAGATACATTCACCGATTTCTCCGAGTCGGAAGACTCTGTACCTTCATATTGACTAATACGATCAAGCAGCATACTGTTGATATTTTTTTTAAAAGGAAAATGTTAATATTTTGCCGGTAGAACATCAGAAAGGACAAGTATTTAAAAAAGAACACGTACTCTTTCTCGCGCTTTAACGTCTTAATTCGCTTACGGGCACGCTCAAGTTCTGCATTTGCTTTTTCGTTTTCCTGTATTTTTAAATAAGAAGATTAGTAAATAAAAATCTGCTTGGACATATTCTTCGATTTCATGAACAAACATATCTATCCCAAACACCTCCATTTAACCATGATCAAATCGAATTCCCTCCATCATAAAACAATATATCTGTCATTGTTGAAAGTCAAAGAGCAAAGATTGAATGGTATCGCCGAATGTAACGTGTACATTTCTTTTCACCAGAGAACAATTCCCATTAGATCACCAATACCATATGAATCAAAGTGAGACCGGACTCCAGACGCGAACAGAGAATGAGTAATTCTTACCGCTTGCATCTCACGTACTCGACGCTTTAACTTCTGGTAACGTTCTTGCGGGACTGTTTCTCCAGTCGAGGCGGTTTGTCGACGTGAAGTGTGTGAATGATTTTGTGCCATTGTCTCGAGACGGGTTGTTTTTATGAGATTAGATACTCCTTAAAAAAAAAGTAGGTTTACTACTAATCAGAGTAGTGATTTATTACAATGTGTTGACAGTTACGAGGGGGTGGTAAAATTATTTTTTATTGTTCGAGAGGCTAAATGTCGTTCGTGTGTGTGCGCATTTGTCAATTAGGGAAGACAGCAAAATTAATGATCAAGGGAAAATTGTGTCTTTGTTAATTGGGTAAAAAGGTTGGGAGAAGTTGAGAAGAGGTTTGAGATGGGGGAAGAGTGTGTCTGTCGTAGTTTTTTATATGGTGTGGGTGTGACTTGAAGGAGTTGCGGTCGTTTGTGGGAATGAGTCACAACACAAATCTTGTTTGCAGGTTTATGAAGAAAAAAAAGCAACAATAAAAATAATATACTATTATTATTATTATTATTATATGTAATAATATTATTAAAGTTTGGTGCGTGTGTATAATAATAATAATAATAATAAAATGTAATAATAAATGATGATATGTGTGTGAGAGAGTGTTTTGTGGATGGTAAAGAAACGACGGGCGGGTCAAAGGCTCTTTTTATTATTATTGTTATTATTGTGTATTTTATATATATATTTATTATCGTGTTATTATTATTAATATTAATATTAATTATAGTAAAGAAGAAAATAAGCAGAAGAAAATTTTTGTTGTTCTTTTTTTTCTTTCTTGTCCTTCCTAAAACCCACCACTCGTTGTGACTACTATTATTATTATTATTATCGCTTGTGGTAATAATTATATTATTTATTGATGATGGGATGATAGATATCACCAACACAGCAAGCAGCGGCACCACATAAACCAAGTTTGGGGGCAAGTTGTTGTTGTTGTTGTTGTTGTTGTTGTGATTTAAAGTATCGTGTGGTATGTCTTTGGAGAGTTGCAAAGTCGACATCATCATTTAACTGTTCAATCATAGTGCTGGTCGATGAAATGTAATTTTCTCGGTCGCCTGTCGATTGTCGTGATATCTTCTGTTCATGTTGGTCTTTTGTTTTTGTTTTTTTATTTAGGTGAAGGGGCTTTTTTTAATGACAAGCGGAGGTTTCGGAAGAAGAAGGGCTTGTCTCTTTCTGTGTCTGTCTGTCTGTCTGTCTGTCTGTCTGCCTCTGTCTGTATAATTTAGTGTGTGCGTGTGTGTGCGCGTTATGATTACTTTATTTTATTGTAATATGTATATTTATTTTTATTAATGATGTTGATGATTGATTGTCTTTTTTTTTTAGCAAAAAGCCTCCCATCTCTCTTCTCAAACACACGCGCACACTACGTATTGGAGTTGATTTGATACGAGGATAGAATCATTCAATGCAATTTTATGATTTTTGTGCACACAGAGATGAATACGTGTGACGCGAAGAAACGAAATTTGGAAGAAACAGAGCGAGAGGATTATTAGTTAGTCCGGGGGGTTCATTTTGTCATTATTATCTCTCATTACCATATACTTTCATACAAAGTATTCCATAATGTGTATATAGAGTAAGTGTGACAAAGTACACCATACAAATAAATACACACGCCCACTCAATAAAAATAGTAAAGTCAAAATACAAATAAACAAACACAAACACACGCGTATTATTTTTTTATTTTTTTCTCTTCATTTATACAAGCGAGAGTGCTTTGCATTTTCCATTCTTTAAAAAAAATTTAATGGGCCCGATAAGTGATTCATTGCATATAAAGAGAAATGCATTTGGCATTGATAGAGATCTATTTGTGTACGAATTTTTTCAGTGACTCTTTGGTCTGATGAAGAGAGAGAGAGACTTGGTTCGATCGGCAACGGATGTTTATTATTTCTCTTTGTATGTTGTGTGATTTTTCTGAGTTATCCCTTGTCATCTCTGCGGAGAAGAAAATTTCACCTTTAGAAAAGCTTGTAGGTAAAGAGACACAAAAACTCTTCGAATCAATCATCTTTCATCGACAATCCAAATTAATTTCAAAGTAACATGAAAACGCGGGCACCCAGGGAACTGTACTTTCTCACTTATCAATTGCTCCAAACAGAACGAAATTAAAATTCCCTTTATTACTAAACTTTATCATAAAAGGATTTGTCACGAAAACTACAAACGAAATTATTGTTTTTCTCCAGTGTGTGTGGATGAAGCGTGTGCGACATTCTCAACCCACGAATCAAGTTGGATTTTCTACATTATTACCATTACGATTGGCACTTGGGGTCATAGACAGACATCAATTTATATAATTTTCCGGAAGCGAGCAAATGAAATGTATAAATCCACGTGGTTATAGAATTTATAATGAAATCTTTAATTACGTTTCATAAATGCAATACAATAGAAAATAGCACAAAACTATACAATGAAAGAGACTAACTAGGAACAACAATCGTCCTTTCTTTTTCTTTGATTCTTTTACTTCTCTCTCCCTAATTCACAAGAAACTAACTAAAGATTATTATTATTATACGCCCTCACCTCCCTTTTTTTTTTTTCTCTTGCTTTCGCTTTACATGCACTCGATGATTAATTTTTTATGGCGTGTTTTTGTGACTGATTGATGTCATAAAGATGATTGAGAAATTTTTTATTTTCATCCATTCAATATACCTTTATCATTCATAGGTATTATTATTAGCATTAATTATTATTAGCATTGAATATTATTAACATTAACCATCTTTAGTCATTATAATTTCATCACAAGAAAAAAAATAGATAGAAAGATAGATAGATAGATATATATATATATATATATTATTAGTCTAATTTTTACAAAAAATATATTGTACGATTAGTTTGTTTGTCAAACAAATTACCAAAAAGAAGATACGTATATATCGATTTGTTCAACCAGCGTGCATGCATCACCCACCCTAGTTAACTAATGAGACTAAAAAGAGCCACCGATTATGGTGGCGATAAAGACAAATCGGGAAAACGGGTAACAGCCAATCACTCCATTCATTTCTTCATTTTCATTCACGCGGAATTCTATTGGCCGAAAAATTCGAGTAGCATAAAATGAGCATCGGGAATTTTCCTCGAATCTGTTCCAAATGTCAAAAGTTTCATCTATTTTTTCTTTTTTGGTCAAACCGTTGTTTTGGTTTTTGGGTGAATCGAGCTCTCAAAAGTTCGTTTCCTCTGAAACTATGCACGCTACACAGACACCATGAAGGAATACAAACTTTTGTACATTGAATAAGAATATGGGTGGGCGCATAGTGCGCATTGAATCATAGTTGGAGGTAATATCCATCTATTACCTTCCTTGCGTCTCTTGATCCACTACATTTGCTTTTTCTTTCCGATTGATCCTTTTAATTTATCCAAAAAATCATTAATAAAATTGATAATTTACAGTGAAATTTATCTTTCTTTTGATTGTAAGCATCCTATATTATTAATATTACACATCAACGCTATCAATAAACAAGTGGGATCCTTAGAATCAAATCTTTGACACGTTTCAACATGATCTCATTATCGCATAAAATCGAATCAGGCACATAAGGGGGGCTGATATGTGCTCGATCCATTACGTGAATTATTGGATCTTCTGGAGTGTGGATCACTTGTATTCGATTCTAATAACGTTATTATTAATTATCTGGTTTGATGTTAAAGATGACGTATTTCAAATAGAAAATAATTACCGCTTCGAAAAAAGAAATTACATCACGTTTACGCGCTTTCATCCTCTCAGAGGTATTGACGAAATCGTGAATTCGTGTGGTTACTAGCGAGTCTAATTTCTCTTTTGGGATTGAGTCTTGGGCGCCTCCTGTTTTTACTTTAGTTTGGTTTTGTTCATGTTCTTACATGTTATGATGTTAACCAAATAGAACCAGAATAATAGTATATATATAAAAAAATACACCTTCAAGGGATTCCATAATTGACTGCATAATCGCAATGATCTTGAATTTTCTAGGCGGAGAATCCTTATACACATTTTCTCCTTCACCTGATCCCTATTCAATAGAAAGATTGTGATTCTGTTTCATACTTAAAATATCACGAAATCACAAATAGTGATGATACCTCCTTTAGTAACAAGACGGTCAAAGTTACCGGATCTACATTGTAAAGAAACCCATCATCGATTATTTCACCATTTTTCAAATGCACGATAACTTTTTGTCCTAGTGATGCTTCGATTTGTGTGAAGGTGAGGCCGTACGGCGACACATTATCATCATTTGACATGTTTGACATGTCTACAAGTTAACATTGCATATGATACCGATATCATGAAAGATAATCATGACTTTGCATTAAGTCAGGTGAAAATCTAAAAGGTGAGATTAATTTTTTTTAAACACAACACAATGCTGCCCATTCCACGAACACCCAAAAACCCAACAATATTCCATTTCATTAAAAAACGCACCAAAACCTATTCTAAAACCAATTTTAAGTTACCTATTCTGAACTCGTTCAAATTTAATTCATTTTGTACCACTAATAGCAACGGATTTCACGTTAATTCGTCTTGTACCCATAGCAATCGCAATAGAATTCACGTTAACAATAAAAAATATACGCGTAAATTTGTCACCGCTACCTCGACAATTCACTCCTACCCTACAGCAGCAACCACAAAGAAAACCCTTGCGGACAGAAAATGGGCCCGTTACTTATTAACACTTATACCAATAATAACGTTCGGACTCGGGACGTGGCAAGTACAGCGTCTACGTTGGAAAATGGGACTTATTAATGAAGCGCAGGAACGCATATCAAAACCACCAATGAAGCTGCCTAAGCACATAAAGTATGGGATTTTTTATTTTTCTGAAAAAAAAATTAGTTTTGCAAGTTCCTTCTAACCAAGTTTTATATATATATTTATTACTAATCTCTATCAGTCTTGACGTCTTAGACGAACTATCGTATAGACGTGTTTACGCGACCGGACAGTTTCGTCACGATCAAGAGATGTTGTTGGGAATACGACATCACGATAATAAACCGGGATATTTCGTAATTACGCCGTTGGAACGGGAAAATGGGTATGTTATTTCTTGTCGTTTCTGTTATGTTGAAGTAGTAAAGCTGATAGTTAATTAAGGTCTACGGTTCTGGTTAAACGCGGCTGGATATCAAAAGAAAAGGCTGATCCTGCTATAAGGCCAAAGAGCCAAGTTTGTTATTTCTCTTTATTTTTAAATCGCATCTAGTTTTTCCCCAATTCATTGATCACTTGTTGCTATATTTTAGGTAAAAGGAATCGTCTCAGTGGAAGGATTAGTGAAGAAATCCGAAAAGGTAAAAAAAATTATTTCTAATGGAAAAGATTTGGTTTCATGTTAAGCAAATTTTTTGCAAAAAAATGCAGAAAAATTGGGCTATCCCCGAAAACAGTCCAGACAAAAACCAATGGCTCTGGACAGACGTGGAGACGATGGCTGAACGTACGGGCGCGCAACCGGTGTTAATTGAGCAATCTCTAGGTAGGTAGATGAATGAAATGATAAACTATAAAAAATTATAATTATAAATGAATTAAAACCTATGCAAATCTATATACGCCTATTTATAGATGTACCGCACTACGTAACTAACACAATGATCGATGATGGAATCCCAATCGGTAAATTACCACAAGTAGATTTTCGAAATACTCATTTAGAGTATGCCATTACATGGTACTTATTAGTTTGTTTATTTATAGTTACTCTTTTTTTTTGAAAATTTATTTTATAGTATTAAAGTTTTAATTTTCATTTTGAAATTATTAGGTACACACTCTCATTCGCCACTACTATCATGTTATATATACTTTTCAAGAAACCGCCTCCTGGACAAGTGAAACGACAACAGATGTTGGGTTAATTAACATTAATCAAAAAAAAAAAAAAAAAAGGAGAAAAAATATTAACCAAGTATAATTAATTAATTAGTTATACTCAATGATTGTATAAAATCATAAAACATAATATGAAGATTTATCAAACCGCTTCGTTACCGTCAATTGAGCTCATTATACTATTATCAATGTTGTTGCGCATTGTGTGTGTTAGGTTGATTGAATACCTTAATTATTCCCAACAGAAAGATACGTTTCTTGAAAGAAACTGTTGCTTTGGTTTCATACAAACTTTTATTTTCATGGGACCTGATTACTCTTTAGACTATATAACCAACCCAAGAAACCGACTATCTCAAAAAATAAGAAATGAACGTCGTACCTTTATTTATCAATCAATCAACTACTACCAACTTGTTTCGGCTTGCACTCATTCTCGGACAATGGTCGTATAAATACAGAATCCGGTGGATGATCTTTCTCGCCCTCTTCGAACGTGTAGCTACTAGCGACTGCCAGCATACGACCATCACAACTGAAACTGAGACTTGCGACACTAGAGGGGTATGATGGATACTGGCGAAGTCGTTTTTTGTTGAATCCGTCCCAGATGTTGACTACACCGTCGGCGCCACCAGAGGCAAAGGTGCCATGACTTTTGAACATTAATTACATTAATTACTTGATGCAAAATAAATCAACTGCTTATATAAATAATGGAAATTTGGAAAAAATATTCACGTTGGATGAAATGCTAGAGCATTCACGGGATATACCGTATCCACGCCATCAATAACCTTTCGATGACATTTGAACGCATATTTACGTGCCTGGGATTTCGGTGACGGATCAAAGAATTCAACCGATACACGTCCTTCTATTGAACTACTCGCATAACCTATTCTTATCTATTAGAAAATGTATAGGCAACGACGACGGCTACACCACTACCGGCTACCCTAGAAACTAATAATAATAAAAAAATACCTTCTCCATTCGGCATGCATTTTACGCACCGTGTCATATACTTCAAACTGCTCTCACGTTTCTGAATCGCATCTTTCATGTTTCTTACATCATAAATAAAGACGTGGCGTCCCGCCATCGCGACAACCAGCTTGTGATTCATAACGTCGATTGCGAAAACTTTGCCCGGTTGTGTATATGTTCCCCCGGAATCAGCATCTTTTGAGCGAATGTCCCAGAGACGAATGGTTTTGTCCCAAGATCCTGTTACTATCAAATCTTTTTCATTGGTATAACATTAAGTAGTCAGACTAATGGATATAATTAACTAATCAAGTCAAGAAAAATAAAGATTATTATTATTTTAAATGTATAAGCCGCATGTGAAGAATACATACTATTTTCCTTGCTATATTCCACACATTTAATAGCCTCATCATGAGCGCCGAGAATCGTATCATTTCCCGTATTAAAATCAAACCTAATCATTCATTGAAGTTATATTTCAAGAGTTGATAAGATAAAATCATTATTTTCAAAAAATCAAGTGACGCAAGTGGTTATTACGTTTTCAGCCGTTTATCCAAACCACCACTGAACGCGTGAGCTCCATCTGAAAAACAACAATCAAGTACTGGAGCCTTATGAGTATAACTTGTTTTAAGTGGCGAGGTATTATGAACGTCGTATAATCTTACACTCTACAGAATGGTTATAACGTTCGAGAAGGCAAATGAGACGGTTGTATGCATATGCGCAGAACATGAGTAAAGAAACCTTACTTTATCCCAAGAAGAGACTAGTAGAAGATCCGGATTTGTAGGGCTAAACACGACTGACGAAATAGCGTCAGCCGGCATATCATATAATTCGTATTGCTGCATGCTTACAAGGGCTGTAAAGTTAAAAGAGAAAAACTCCGACGTGCACGTAATCGGAACCAAACTGTTGTGAATCTGTGTAATCCACGAATCAACACGATGTGATTTGTCGATGGGTTGTTGAATTGTTGATATCATTGATACGGAAGAAATGTGGCGCCGTTCCTCACCTCTTGGCCTCCAAGGGAAAAACAAATAACAACTCCACACATAAAAACCAGCACTGTTGTCGCTCTTCGAGCAAAAATCCCCGCTGATTAGCGTACTCCTTCTCACCAATGACCACGGCCTCAACTCGTCAAACACGAAGTAGACGAGACCAAGCTGCCTTTTCTTTCCTATCGAATATCAGCCTTGGAACTGAGACTTCTTCCAACACAACCACAACTAACTCTTCTACTTTTGAGCCAACGCATCGTCGGGTAACAACAGTTCCCGGCCAATTTCAGCCCGAAGAATTTGTAAAAAACCATGACACACTTGATAAGTTACATGCTTCTTCACAGAATGATAACACCCATAGTGGCAAAGAAAACAAAATTGACAATGCTAAAAGACCAACTTTATCGATTGATATACCCGGCAAGCCTGGTAAACATACAGACTTTTCCACACCTTTTTCAGCGTCTAAAGAAAAATCATCTTACCCGGGAAATTCCACCATAGATCTTCGCAACAATAGTAATAATCATGACTTTGAGATTTCTCGTCGTCGAAGTAACAGCTTGCGAGACGATATAGCAGTCGCACATTTCTTGTCGAGCATCAGTCTTGACCCGATTGGAAACTCAAATGTGAGAGATAATAGTCAGAATAAAAATAATTCAACGTATCCAATCAACACGGGAAAAGTTAGTGAACAAGAGCATCATATATTCATTGATGATGAGACAGATCATTTTCTGAGTCCTGTCAATTCTGTTCTTGGAACTATTGATGAATTGCTAGAAGACAATAATCGTTCGATGATGTTAAAACATAATAAACGTCAAAATTCAGGTTGGTTTATGTTTATTGGCGAGAGAACAAGCACAGTGAATCCGCCTATAATAATAAAAATTCATTATCATGTTTATCGAAACTTTTTTCAAGCATATAATAATAACATCTACAACAATAATAATAATGGTGATATTATTAAAAATAATAATAAAAATAAACGAAAAAACTTTTCTATTACACCTGCAAATTTTATTTTCATTTTTTTTTCAATGACGAATGTTAAATTTTAATACATTGCTCTGGGCCAAATCGTATCGTTAATTAATATCAACAAACCAAATCCAACATCACCACCATACAACATCACCTATAACCTTCCATCAATCAATCAGTTTCGTCATTGCAAAACCATGCAAATACCAATTCCACTACTGCTACTACTACCCCCATTTCGCCTGCTGCTTTAACCTTTACAAACGAAAATACTCTAATGCCACAAGTTATTCGTCGCGAATCGTTGTCGTCAAGTTTTGGATCGGGTAAGTCGTTACACAGCGGAGAATACGTTGAGGAGAATCATTTACCAACGGTCTTGAAACAGCCTAGTTTTGTGATGTCCGGGTCACCGGTGTGTATCTTTATATGGTTCTCTTTACACACACATATTGGGGATCGCAATTAATTATGTATGGTATAATAATCTTTTTACCATCAAAAAACAAAAAAAAATAAAAGGATACATCAACATTTGGAGGGATTTTATCCATGTTTGGATTTAAAGATGATAAGCATAAGCATCCGCGTATACGTCGCGACACCTTGTATGTCCTTTTTTCTGATTATCTTATTCTAGTTCATCGTTGATGAGATTTGTATTAAATTAAAGTTACTTTTTTTATTAATAGAAAACAGAATAGCACTAATAATATTTCTGTGAAAAAGAGTGAGGTATGAATTGTATGTTGTTGGGTTTTTGATCAAAGTTCATTATAACGCTTAACTGATATTTTTAACGACAATACCTAATAATAATTTCGTTATTACAGGATGAATCATATGCGGAGTTATTAAAACCTAGTAATTCGTTGAGGTAAATTTTGGAATATATCTATATCATTTTTTTTTTATCAAGTTTTTTCAACGATTCGGCATAATTTACTTATGTTCAACACATAGTCCTGGAATAAAAACCAGCGATTATGACCCATATTTCCTTGACGTGCCAGAATTAAAAATGGGTAAAAAACCCGGCAGGACTCTACCGAATTTTGTGGTAAATTATAAAACTCAATTGGGATTATTCGTTCATTAATATTCACATAATAACATATGTCAAATATAAAATTCTTATACATAGAACTCTTTGCTCCAACAAAAACGTACACGAGAATCCGATCTAAAACGCGAACTGAACGCAAAATTTCGGCAAGCACACCCGAATCTCGATCCTTCTTTAACATTGACTCAAATTCGTGCTATTAAGGAAAAATTACTGATTGCTGCAAGACATGAGGTTAGCACAGCTAATATTTTCAAAACGATACTTTTTGCAAGGCACTTTTTATGACATTTAATTTTTTTTCTCGTTAATTTCTTAGGATCTTGATTTGGAATTATCTACTGTCGCAAAATCATACGTGTACTTTGAGAAACTTGTTCTAAAGGTTAGCACGGGAAGCTTGTGTCAAAAAATTTGGTGGCGATGAAGGATATTGTTTTTTGTTTTTGATTTAATTGTTTATCTTGGAAATCTTTTAGAAATTAGTTGCTAAACACAATCGAAGGTTAACAGCCGGTAAGTATCTAATCTCTTTTAGGGTGGATTTGTTTGGATGTTCGTGCATATTGCTGATTGTATTTGGTTATTGTAATTTAATAGCAATATGTCTATTGCTGGCAAGTAAAGTCAATGAACCAAAAGAGACGTCTTATACAAACATACTAGAGGTAATATCAAATAAGTGAATACAGCCAGACCTCCATAAATACACCCCGGTCCGATCTTAGACATGCTTGGGGCCAAGCCAGAGAGTAGATTTAGGGAGGGTGTGCATGTTATGGAGGTCTGAATAATTGTTCTTTAAATATTCAAAATTTTTAATTTAAAATTTTTCTCAATTACATAATATAATCAAACTCAATCATATACATGAAATCAAAAAATAATTAGTCACTACATAAGCATCTGGATGTTTCTGAAAAAGAAATCAAAGAACACGAATTCAGCGTGTTTGCGTCGCTACAATTCGAACTTTACGTCCCGCGAAATGAGTTCATGCCGCATTTTCATCGGATATTTGAAACGCTTAACGATAGTAAATGTCACATTTATATTTTGACAATCATTTCGTAATAGGAAACGTTAAAACGAAGAATCCGTGAATCTAATGCAATTCTATTTTTGCAGAATATAAAACCCTGCAGGATTACATAGGCGAGAATCCGTTTTACGATATATGACAATATTTGAATGGGAGTTTCCGATGAAGAATTAACTATTTGAGGAAATAAGAAGCAAGTCTCATGTCATCGCAATATCATGATTCGAAGGAAAAAAAAAACTTTTCATATATTAGAATACTCTTTTCATTCACACTTATAAATATATTAATATTTTTGCGGTATATGCGTACATGTGTAATGATAACGATAAAATATAATTATATATTTGTTATTCATGCATGCATGCATGTCAATCAATGACGCTAATATTTTGATAACAAAGTACCCCGACCATAGACATATCAAATCGATTATCGGTATAAAAAAATTTTTTTACAATAAATTAGCTTCATACGGTCAGATCCCCTTATAAAAAATTTTTCAACAGATATAGAATTTAACTCTAGAACAAGGTTCGACGGTATTTGCACCTGTTCTGGCCAAATCCCGCCTCGGGATAGACTAAGATCCCTTCTGACTAATAGATAGACAAAGATCCCGAAACGGGCAAAATTCATGATTGTTAGTAACACAGATCGTCGTGATTTGAAGGGAGTTGGTAAATTAAAGGGGGAGGGAAAGAAAGGGTGAAGAATAAGATGAAAACAAAATTATGTAATAAAGGGGATAAGGCGACTTTTTCATTAAACATAACTAAATCAAGCAAAAGGAAATCTATTGAAAGAACTAATGATTTTATTCATAATTTTTTCGGCATGCCCATTTAAAACTATTCTATATTGGACTCTGCAAAAGCAAAAAAATCTGAGAAGGGATAATAATGAATGAAAAAGGTAAAGACACCTTTTATCTTGTGATATTTCTCACGTTACTCTAAAATAATATCACCAAAAGGAGCTATACAATAAAATTCTGCAATATCCTCGTTCAACCTATCAAAAGCTAGCACGCCCGTTGTAAGGCAGAAAATTTTGTTTGCTATTATTGGATCCTGCGGACTATTATAATGCAAAGAAGTACATATGGAAATGATGTGTCCAAAATCTGAACAAATAAATAAAGATCAGTGCCTTTGACTCATAATGTCACAATTATAACTACTCTTTTCGCCTCTTTTATGAAACGCGCGATAACTACTACTATTGTTGTGAATATCCGATAAATAGAGAAAGGCATTCCCTCTTTCCCTTTTTCATCATCAACTACATTCTTTACTTCTGATAGTTATTTTATCTATTCAAACACCACCCGCATATTATAATATAATAACAATGTCTTTTCTCGCGGATTACGAGCCGGCACTCATCCACTCTCCGTTTGATCGGTACCAGCAACAACAACAACAACAACAACAATTACAAGAAGAAAATAAAGGCGTAAAGAGCCAGAATCGTTCCGCCCCTTCCAAGCAAAGACAGATAACACCCCCTAATTCAAATGTACTTTTTAACAACAATAATTATACACCATTACAACAACGTAGCTTGGGTGAACAATTTGCCAATCTCTTCCGACGACAAACAACAGTTTCTGCAATGACGACCACCTCTTCATCGTTTTCAAAAAAGACTTCAACGGATACTGAATGTACATTATGCGAAAAAAAATCTAGTATGTTTGGGAGTAATATCAATAATATTAATAACAGTAATAATTTCGTGACTGGCGACATCAATTATAATCAGCCGTGGATGGATCGATTGGTGTCCTTTGTAGCTATGCTATGATTGAGTTTGATGGGGTTGTAGGATTGGTTATGCTTCTTATCCGTAACGTAGTCATTCTTTAATTTGAAATTTTGTTGTTTAATGAAGGCTTTGATGACATTGGACATTATGAACATTATTAATTAATTAATTATATTTCATCATTTCATTTCTTTGATCGTGATGAATGGATGTCATCGATTCTTAAAGTACATACTGGTATATATACATATAGAGATTTCTAGATTTGTTTCATGTTGAATTATTTATATTCAATGAATATTATTAAAGAACAATGTATTTTGTTTTATTTAGCTGATTTGTCTAGCTGCTTTTTTTGTAAAATTTTTGAGCAATCATTTTGCATAACATAGACATTAATATATCCAAAATAAAATAACTTAGAATACGTGTGACAATTATCTAAACACGGTACTTTGTTTTTTTTGATATTTATAAATCTTGCCATAAAAAAATGAATCTTCTTGACGAATATACCTCTAGCGAAGGTGAAACAAGTGATCAAGCTACCTCAAAAAGATATGCCACTGACGAAACTGGTAGCTCGGTGGTTAAGCGACTAAAGGTTGATTTGGCGCCACATGTTAGTCTAGAGGTTTGTAGATATTAAGACCAACTTTTTTGATACTTGTCCTCCTGTATACTATCGACAAAATCTAGAGGTCAAAAAATTTAGATCTTTTCATTCAGAATTTACATATATTGGCTTTTCTCTTTCAATAATAGGACCCAAAACACTCTACTGGAATATACATTAACCCTACCGAAACCAGCATTTCTGTAAACCTTCCATATGAAGACCTTGTAGCCCCGGTTGCTGGCCCCAACAATCCCTTCAACACCCGAGTCGTCAATCAAAACGTACTTACCGGACACGTAGAAGAACAGGCATATACTGAATCTGCTTTTAGAACTCAGCAGCGTACATTTGCTTCCTTCGGATATGCACGTGATCCATCACTAATTGTGCCAGGGGAAGGGGGAATCGCGGGAACGGGATTTGTAGGGGATGTGGAAAAAGCAGTAACGTTGAAGGGCGCAACGATTTATGATCCGATGGCAAAGCACGCAAACTTACCCAACCGTAAACCGAAAGGAGACTCGGGAGTATTGGAGGGTGAGAATGCGTACCAAGGACCTTGGGCGGGATATGAAGGCGAAAATATTGGAACTGCTGTTGGTCCATCAGAGGTATTTTGAATGGTCGAACGATTTACCGATTTTTTTACAGACTTTTAATTAATTAAGATTCGGTATTTAGAATATGGTTTCTTCCAGAGTTGACACAACAAAAGAAGCCAAAAAACAAATCGAATTTGGACAAGAAAAAACAATATTTCATGGTTTGTTTTATAAATTAATATACATTGATCTAAAGAATTACACTTGATTTGCGTATATTTAATAATTTCTTTAATTCACAACAGGAAAATCAGAATTCGATTATCAAGGTAGAACTTATATGCACGTTCCTTTGGATTTGGATGTAAACTTGCTCAGTGAACCAGGGACACAAGAATGTTACATACCAAAACGGTTAATACATACATGGTACTTTTACTATTACACTAAACGCGTCTTATTTTTTTTCTGGTTTCCAACAATAAGTAACATAATAACAATAATTAATATAGGTCTGGGCACACAAAGGGCGTCTCGGCAATACGATTTTTTCCCAAATCAGCACATTTACTGTTATCCGCTAGCATGGACACAAAAATAAAACTCTGGGATTTCTATCACGACCGAATCTGTTTACGGACTTTTATAGGACATAATAAAGCGGTGCGTGACATCACGTTTAGTAATGACGGACGTAGGTTTTTGAGTGCTAGTTATGATAAAAATATTAAACTGTGGGATACAGAGACTGGTAAGTCGATGTATATGCTTTTATGTTAACAAATAATGTTGAATCACGATGTCATGATAATTAATAAATCTCATGTTTCGGTGAATAGGAAAATGCATAAAAGCCTTTACTACCGGCAAAATACCTTATGTCGTGAAATTTAATCCGGATGAAGATAAGCAAAATATATTCCTTGCTGGATGTTCTGATAAGAAAATAGTCCAGGTATTATTAAGTTTATTGTTTTTATTATTATCATTGTTGTTATCCGGAAAATCTCTATACCATTTCTATATTTTAATTCTTAAATTAGTTTGACATCAACACGGGAGAAGTCACCCAAGAATACGATCAGCATTTAGGCGCAGTCAACACGATAACATTTGTCGATGAAAATCGACGGTTCGTGACTACATCTGATGATAAGACGTTACGGGCTTGGGAATTTGATATTCCAGTCGTGATAAAATATATCGCGGAACCACATATGCATAGTATGCCGTCGGTGACATTGCACCCTAATAGTAAATATACTTTTACTTATTTACTATGTTTTGATATTTTAAAAATTTAATTAGTTTTATTATTTAATTTGTTTAGAAAAATGGCTTGCATGTCAATCAATGGATAATCAAATTGTCGTCTATGGAGCAAAAGACCGGTTCCGAATACACCGAAAAAAAAGGTTTGTCGGTCATTTGGTGGCCGGGTACGCTTGTCAAGTGAATTTCTCACCTGATGGTCGGTTTATTATGTCGGGTGACTCAGAGGGGAATTTGTGTTTTTGGGTAAGGTGAATTTTTAATTCATTAATGGATTTTTCTCAAAAACATATAGTAATGGTTCTTTAATTATTTGTATATATCTAGGATTGGAAAACGTGTAAATTATTAAAGTAAGCATTTATACTAATTTAATATTATGTGTTATTGTATTATATTATCTTTTTTTTTACGTTTGGCTTTATTAAATTTTTTTGAAAATTCCAATAATAGAAAATTCCAAGCACACGATGGTGTCGTAAATGGATGTGAATGGCATCCTCACGAGACTTCTAAAGTGGTGACATGCAGCTGGGATGGATTAATTAAATTATGGGTATGTGTTAATTGATTCATGATGATGCTGATGTATTTTTGGTTTATTAATCGGTTATTTTTTTTTGTTATTTTATATCCAGGATTAATCAAATACATGCAAACCTATCAAAAAAAATTTGTAATATTACGATGCAAAAATTATATGTTGATACAATTGAATGAATACAGAAAATTTCCTCCCTTTCTTTTGGTCGGACTATTTAATATATGCACGCAATAAAATTATTAGAAATAAAAATTTATATAGATATACGTGTTAAAGTAATTTCTGGAAAATATTAATTAAAACCACCGTTCAATACTGGACTCGTATCAAATAAAAATTTCATATATAAGAATGAGATGGTTTTACCAACTTTATCAAGTTGTTATCATTTTCTGATTATTTATAAAATAATAATACACGTATTATAAAGTTAGCATCTGTGGTGTAGTGGTTATCACGTGTGCTTCACACGCACAAGGTCCTCGGTTCAATCCCGAGCAGATGCATCTTAATGCGTTTTTTAGGATATTTCGTAATAAATATCTATATATATATTTATTTCAAAGTTTTGATAACTTTATTTATGCTAATTATTCACAAATGTACACGATAGCTAACAGAATTATGAAATCAAAGATCAAATGTATTAATTAAAATTGAAATCTTTTTATATTAAATTTATAATTATATTAATAAATATTTTAAAATAAATATAACTTATAATTTAATATAGATTTTTTTAAAGAATTGTTCTAATTGCATGAATTTTTTTCTAATTAAATTTTATTTTTAATTAAAAAAATTCATAATAGCTTTTAATTTTATTATATTTATTAATTAATAAATTTAATCTTCTAATTTCATAATTTTATATTCTAAAAATTTTAAAATATAATAATAAAAAATTTTATATATATTTGAATTAAATTAGAATTTGGATTAAAAATTCTTGATCAATAAATAATACTAATAATTTCAATTTCAATAGAACATATATATTTTTAATAAAATATTATAGATTTATATAATTTTTTATTATTTATAGATAGATAGATAAATAGATAGATAGATATATATATATAATAACAATTAAAAAAATGTAATACTTGAATTTTTACTAATTGTAATTAGTAAAAGATTTAATCTTTTGATTATTAATATTAAATTTATAAACATTTGAGTAATTAAGAAAAACTTACATATATATAAAACAATAATTTTTTTATTATTTTAAAATAATTAAAAATCTGTATAAAATTAATTAAAATTTATGAAGAGATTGGTTTTTTTCATAAACTTTTATTAATAAAAACTGTTACCTTCATTATTTATCTTATATTAAATTATAAATTATGAACTTTAATATAAAAATAAAAATTTTTATGTGAATTTTAATATATTTATGTACTTTTTTGGTATTTAAAGTTTCTTAGAAATCGGCTTGTAAACGTAATAAATTTTTTTATTAATAATATTCATTTAAATTGAAACTTAAAGTGCAAAAATTTATTTTTATCATAAATTTGATTTCAGTGAGATTACATCTGAACCAAATATGAATCCAACTGTTTCTGTACTTGCTCGCTCCGCGTGGAAGGGTATCATCATTTCAGATGTATTGTAAACTATTATAAAGTTTTTAATTTAAATTTATTGGATTAAGAGTTAATAATTGCACTAAGAGCTTTTTTTTGCTGTAGGTCCGTATTTTGTTCAGTTTCCAGGTACTATTACTAATTAGCATGACTAACTGAAAACTTATGGCAAAATATCAATGAGAAAGATATAAACTAAACTAATCAACTAAAAAAAAACAATTAATTTAATCTCATTACAAACCAAAAAAAAAAATAAAAAACCAAAGGTCTCCGGCAAGCGCTCGCTAAAAAAGTTCCACTAAAAACAACAGCACGCGCATGCACAATTCTTCCCACATTTGTAGGCATCACGTTCTTGGTGCATAATGGCAAGAATTACATACCGGTTACAGTGACCGAGGAAATGGTTGGGCATAAGTTGGGCGAGTTTTCACCGACAAGAAAGAGATTCTCGTATCGACAGACGAAAAATAAGTGATTGTTTTGGGTGTAAAAATAAATGTGTTTATACTCGATCAATAAGTTATTTAGTGGTTCGACGATTTAATCTATCCAAATTTAAGAAATCTCAAAGTTACAAAATCGATGTGTGAAATTAATACAATAAATTGCATTTTTTCAAGTGAATAAATCAAGTCATACATATTTTTAATTTATATTTTTCATGGTATATATATATTTTGAAGCAATATATCCTAATTTCTCATCGCTTAATACATTCCAATTCACACCTTAGAACTTCAATTTATGCGGAAATACACCTTTCGTAAGTGTGAATCGCGACCGCAAGTAATGGTACAGATCAATGTCTTTTTTGATATTAGCGATAAGTGGTTTGTCAACCTCTTTTTGGAGAGAGGCTTTCTCGGCTGGGAATTCTTTTTTCTGCTATTTTTTTTGGTTTATTTTTTTTAAGTATTATTTTGGGTGTTAAGTATTGTAAATATTGAGTTGATGATAGCAATAAAAAATTTCGGTGGTGACTTACTTTTTCGCCCTCTTTAAAGAATTCTTCTTCTGTAGCCTTCTTATTTGCGTTTTTCTCTCTCTTGAAATAGTTATCATCAAATTTATCAAGCTTCAAAACAAATAAATGGATTAATTTAATATCGAAAGAAATAAAAATAAAATTGAATTATAAAATTACCGAGACTCCAGAAACGTCAATCTTCGTAGAAGTGGCAATTACATAAGCCTGATTAACGCGCCTTAACGGCACGCCATTTAGTTTATAAGGCCCTGTAACCAATAGCAATCCACTCCCAGGCAACTGCTTCAAAAATACGACCCTCTTCCCCCTGAACCTGCCCGCCAACAAAATCAAAACCGTTCCAGGCGTAATACTGGTACGAAGTTTGGCCGGTCTATTAACTTTACGAGATTTCTTTGGGACCGGAATATCCTCGGCCGGATAGAATCTCGGCGCCTTATTCACAGGGACTAAACGTTTTTCACCATTTTTCTCACCCTTGACTTGCACGGTTTTGATCTGCTCGGGTTTCGTTTCTTGTTTCGGTTGTGGGGTTTTCTTGCGTTTATACATGGCTTTTTTGGCGTAGATCACTGAGCGAGAATAGCGCGTGATCCCGGGGACGAGAAAAGAGTTTCGCGGGACGTGATTTGTGCGTGCCATCTTTTTTTATTGCCACTGAATTTTTTGTAATTTGTATTTTGGAATAAGTACGAGAGATAGAAAATAATAAAATCATTGAAATTATTCGAGATTTTTTTTTTGATTCAGCATTTTTTGTTGATCCTTTCTAGTTATATAAATGAATTCTAATTATTCTAATTTTTCATTCCGATACGCAAGAAATGACAAAAACTTTTGTTCTCGAATTAAGAAATTACTTCAAAACAAAAATATGTTTCTAAGGAGAATATAAAAAGGATAAGCCTCTTCATGTAATCTATATCACAAATTTTCAAGCTCGTTTGTTGAAAGAAACCCTCTGAATGAAACCTTCGATGTTAATTTCCCACCTATACTATTCAACAAAAGAAAAAATTCGAACAAACGTTTACAAACCAAGACTAAGTCTCCGTGGATGGAATTAATGAGAAAGAAAAAAATCTAATAATGAGCTTACCAAAAATAAAAGAAAACGTCGACGTCACCAAACCGAGATTTTTTTCTATTGGTTGCACCAAAATTTTTTTTGGATCACACTCGTCTTTCATTATTTGCGACTCGGATCAAGAAAGTTTTCCTTCATGAGTTCATTCGAAGAAGGAAAAGACCAAGGGGAAAGTTGCAAACTTTCAAACATGGCAGAATACGATCTGATCCCTCGAATGATTCCTTATTTGGACAGACACCTCGTCTTTCCTTTACTGGAGTTCTTATCTTTGAATAATGTAATTTTTTTTCTTACCTTGCTTTTGATATAGTAGTGTTATGGAGGAGAGTGATTAAGTGGGAAACCCACCTATTTCAAATTACATAATAAAGAAATTAATTTGTTTTTCGCGGGAATTTATTTTCGTTTGAATATGAATCATGATGATGATCGAAAACGTTAGATATATCCAGAAGAAGACTTACTCCGTGCAAAATTCGAGCTCTTGAAAGAGACTAATATGGTTGATTTTATTTCGGGGCTGTATAAAGACATTAACAAAACAGATGAGATTCCGCAAGGTATTTTATTAATTGATTCACTTAATCGGCCAAACAAAAAAGAATTTATCGTTTATCTACACATAAATAATAATAGCAAATAAACCTGCAAACTCTAAAATTTAGAATTCACCATCAAAAGGCAAGAAGTTCTCCAAACGCTAGAAAATCTGCAAACGGAATCACAAAAAGTTTTGGATATCATAGAAAACCCGGAAGTTATTGCAGCGCTTCGACAGGATAAACTGCAGAACTTACACTTTCTTAAAGAGAAGTATGGGGTTAGTATGTTATTTTGACGTTATCATATTTTGTCATATTAAATCCACTTTTTTGATTATCTCGATCTGATAAATCCCAAAAAAAAGCTCACGGAAGAAATGGTTAACACACTCTACCAATCTGGACAATTCCAATATAATTGTGGAAATTATGGAGGTGCAGCAGATATGTTGTATCATTATCGTGTGCTGGTGAGTTTCGGGTTGTACGTAATTGATCAATTTTGCAAGAGGAAAATTCATTATTTCGTGTTCTTTTTGTTTTTTCATTCGGAGTAGTCAACAGATCATGAGCAGAATCTCTCGGCATTATGGGGAAAATTAGCATCTGAGATTCTTGATATGAATTGGGATAATGCGTTAGAAGAGCTTCAGAAATTGCGGGAGACTATAGATCAAAAGGTCCGTTTTTATTCAGATTATTCAATAAATAATCTCAGTTTTCGAATTTAATTTGATTACTTTAATCAAAAATTAGAATTTTGCATCAGCACTCCATCAACTGCAACAACGTTCCTGGTTCATCCATTGGTCAATCTTTGTATTCTTCAACCACCCCAAAGGCCGGGACGGTATCATCGACGTATTCTTCCAACCGCAATATATCAACACCATCCAAACCTCGTGTCCATGGATCCTTCGATATCTCACAACCGCCGTCGTAACGAACAAACGGCGTAAAAACATCCTCAAGGATCTCGTGAAAATAATACAACAAGAGAGTTATGAGTACCGAGATCCGATCACCGAGTTTATCGAATGTTTGTACGTGAATTTTGATTTTGAGGGTGCGCAACACAAGTTGAAAGAGTGTGAAGAGGTGTTGGCGAATGATTTCTTTTTGGTGGCTACGAAACTTGATTTTATTGAACATGCGAGGTTCTTGATTTCTGAGACTTATTGTCGGATTCATTTGAAGATTGATATTAGGTTTGTGTCATTGATCAGATGTTCAACGATAAGTTTATAGCTATATAATACGTGTTATTGATTGTATTGGTAATTTTATTGCAGCGAACTATCACAAACTCTTAATTTGGAACAAGAAGAAGGAGAAAAATGGATTGTCAATTTGATTCGTGATACTCGCGTTGATGCAAAGATTGATTTCAAAGAAGTAATGTCTCCATTAAAAATTTTTTTTTATTTTCAAACTCAAAAAAATTTTTGTATATTCCCTCCTTTCCATTTCAATCTCCATTACGATTCCTTATCACCATGACCAAATCACCCACCAATCAATCAACTAACTAATTCTAAATATTATTCAATTACCAAAAACACACCCATCAGAACACGGTTATCATGAACCAAAACCACACCTCAATCTATCAACAAGTAATAGAACGCACCAAAGGTTTATCATTCCGTTCGCAAGTTTTAGCATCTACCATTGAAAAACGTGAAGCACATAATCAGAATTCAAATGCAATTGAATAATAAATATTTATTTAAAAAACGAAAGCATTGTGATGGAATTTGTATAGTGGCTTCTTGTGTGGATATTGGTTGATATTCTACTCGGTTTTATTATGGAGAATAGGTAAAAGAAAGACCGATCAAAAAAAATGATAATCACGTCAAAAATTCTGCTAATGGGGAAAGGAAAAGGAGAGGAACAATAGTAAATCATTATATTAAATGATCGCACCCTTCTTCCTCTCCCCTTCTCCATTATGAGGTTTAAATTCGTTCTATTTATCTAATTCACCAGGTGTCCATCCATCAAACACGTCCATGGTGCGTGTCACCATTATCACCATATCCATCAACGAATTTACTGATACACGAAGCATTCGTACACTCGAACATTTGAATTCTCTAAATTGATTGTATTAATTAATCTAAGAATTTTATTTCATATTAAGATTAATTGATTGGAAACGTACACTAAAAGTTCCTCGTCTTTAGCATGTATTGTTCGCAACACTTCATTACTTTTTAGTTCTTTGTCAACGCTGAGTACACGTGCTGCTATAGTTGCTAGACGTGGTGACGGGAATGGAATGGTTAGTGACCTGTATGTTTTGTTATAGAAAAATGAATCCTTTTAGGTGAGAATGCGTTTTGTCAATTTTTTGCTTAGACTTGAGTAGAAGTATAAGTATTTTTATTCACATTACGTGTTGAAGTTCTGCCATATCGATATTTTTAATGTGTTTATTAAAAAATATCCTAAAATAAAATAATGTAATGCAACAAAATAATGGGATATAACAGATCGACAAACTTTATCAACAGACAAGTTTAATATAACGATATTTTATATCTTATGATTTCTAACAAGTCTCCATCTACCACGCAAACTCTCAACATTGTCATTTTTTCCACCATCAAGTCTAATTACCTTTCCATCACTTTCCAATTTTAGCAAATGCAAAATTACATTCTGTTCAGCAGCCAACCACACTTCCTCAGGATAATTGGCGTACAAAATTTTGACGATTTCTCGGGGAGTTATGCCATTGTCATCACTATTCTCCAAAATATCTAATATCTCTTGCTCACGTTGTTTTCTATGCAAAATATACTCTTCCAACTTCTCATCACCGTTCTCGACAACAGGCCCATGTCCCGGATAAATTCTTGCGTTATCCGACTTATCACTACCACCAATAACACGTCTCAACTTCTCCAACGATTCTAAGTAAGCTTTGAGATCCGTAAACACGGTAGTACCCTCTCCTAACACACAATCAGCGGTGAACAGCACTTTCTCCTCTTCAAGATAGAAAGCCATATGGTCCTCAGTGTGACCTGGGGTATGTATCGCGCGTAAAGTGGCCCCTTGTGTTTTGAAAATTTGGTTTTCGGTTATTGGGTGTAGTGGAAAATGGTAAGTGGAGTCGTGTTTCGGATCTGGATTTTTGTGCACGTTTGGTGGTGCATGACGCAGGGTTTCTTCGGTGTATTTTATGATTCCTTCAACACCCCCAATGTGATCATGGTGCCAGTGCGAAATTAGGATATCGGAGATTCGGATGTTTTCCGCTCCTCCTAGTTCCTTTAGAGTTTGTGATAGTAACGAAAGATATTCGGGTAAACCCTCGCCTGTATCCAAGAGTATTCTTTCAGTTCCTGTTCCAATCAAATATGTGTTTGTTCCTATATAAAAAACAGTATTTTATGTACATGTATGTGTGTATGTATGCAGGCCTTCATATGAAGTGTCATTGTTTTTAATGTACAGCCACAGACCATACATATACGACGACAAACCTTGTAAAGTAAATTTCCCAGGGTTCAAGCCTAATATACGAATCACACTCGGAGAAAGCTTAGAAAAGTTTGGTAGAGGTTGTATCATTTTTCTGGCTGTTTTAGGTTTGGCACCAAGTGATTTAAAATGTGATAGTCATGTTCATACGAGTTTATATTCGTTGAACCAATGCGAATAAGTTAATATTCAAATAGCTAATTTTTGGAAACAGAAATTTTTTATTTCAAAAAAATAAAACAAATAAAATAATAATTATAGGCAAATATTGATATTATATATGATAACTGAAGCTGATGTAATAAAATTAGAAAAAGTAATTTTCTGAAATTATTTAATTAGTTAATTAACTTTTAGTTTATAAATATTTTTTCATTTTTACAAAGTCTTATATAATGTATATAAAGATAAAATTATATTCAGCTAGTTAATATTATTATGTATATAAGTATAAAAAAAAAAATAAAAGAATATGAAAAAATAAAAATATAAAATAAAAAAGAAATAAAATATAAAATATAAAAATATAATTAATATAAAAAAGATAAAATAACTTATTAATAATAAATAAATATAGTAATAATTAAAAATAATATATTAAAGATCAAATTTTATTAATAAAATATATTTTAATATATATTTTTTTATTTTAATTACAAATCATTACAATTAGAATAACACATTTAGTAAATTTAGAAAATCTAAAAAAATATATATTAAATTATAAAGTTTTAATATAGAAAAAAAATTTTATTTAATATATTATCTTTAATTATTATTATATATATAATAAAAAATATATTATATATTATAATATTTATATTTTTTATTAGTATTAATCAGAAATAACTTATAATATATAATATATATAATAATCATAATTAATATAATACTTTAAATTTTTTACTAATTATAATTAATAAAATATATATTTTTTATTATATATAAAAGTTTTTAATTTTATTAATTAATATTTTTTATTTTTAGCTTAAAAAATACTAAAATTCTTTAATTTAATATATTTTTCAAGTTTTTTACTGATAATTTATTTTAATTATATATAGAATTAATTAATTTTTACTAATGATTAATTAATAAAAATTAATTAAATTAAAAAAAATTTAGTTATTTTTAAACTAAAAATAAAAAATATATATTTACTAATTATAATTAATAAAAAATTCAAGCATTATATTAATTATAATTATAATTATATATAAAAATTTTTATTTTTATAAAATCAAAAAGTTGATCTTATTAATTAAATATAGTAAAAAATAAAATTTTTTTTATTAAACTGTATAATTTTATTAAGAAATAATTTTTATTTTTATATTAAATAAAATTTATAAGTTATAATTTAATACATATTTTTTTCAGATTATTTAGATTTTTTTCTAAAAGAACTATTTTAATTATAAAATTAATATAAAAATTTTTATTAATTAAAAATAAAATTTAATTAGTAAAAATTTTTGTATTAATTTTATAATTAAAAAAATATATATATAAATTATAACTTATAAACTTTATTTTAAATAAAAATTATTTCTTAATAAATTATAAAGTTTAATATAGATAGAAAATTATAATTTTTATTATATTTTATTAATAAAATTAATTCTTCAATTTTATAATTATAAAAATTTTTATATTTATAATTTTTATAAATAATAAATTATATTTATAAAATATAATTTATTATTTTATTTAATTAAAATAATAGTATTATTATTTATTAATATAAATTAATAAATTAATTTTTTAATTAATTAATTAATAAATAAATTTTTTATTAAAAAAATTTAGTATAATAAATATAAAATTATTTATAAAAAATTATAAAAATAATATATAAAACTATAAGAAAAATATAGAATATAAAATAAAAAAATTTTATATAATATAAAAGATCTTAATTCATTAATCATATAAATTTATTTTAATTTTATATATATAATATAATATATAATATAATTAATAATATAATATATATTAAATAATAATATATAATATAATATATTATATAATATAATTAAAATATATAAAAGCTCTTAAAAATTTATATAAATATTAATTAAATAAATATTTCTTAAAATAATTAAATATAATTAATTTTTTAGAAACTTAAATCTAATATTAAATTAATAAAAATTATTTATATATAATATATTATTATAATTGATTAATAAAATAAGTTTTATATAATAAAAAATTATAGGATATATTTTAATTTATATAATAAGTATTTAATTTAAAATACTTATAACTTTTTATTAAAACTTAAATTAAAATTCTAATTAATAATTTAATAATATATATTTTAAATAAGAAAAAATATATTTGTCACTGCAGGTGACAAAATCAGATCACATAATTTTCTAATTGATTATAATAGTTATCACATAATAATATGATTATTGACACAATCATATTTTATATAACCTATTAATTAAAAAAATCTTGCTGTTTTTTTTTAGTAAATCTACCCTTCTTCATAAAAATACTAACTAAAATAGTAATAATGAATGGCATGCAGTCTAGCAAGAAAATAACAAAAAATTTCTACTTAACAATAATAAAAAATGTAGTCTAGTAATAAAGATGAAATATAGGTTAATAGTAGTAAAATGATGTAATCTAGTAACAATAATAAAATATAACTCACTAACAACAGCAGCAATAAAATAATATCATCTAGCAATAGTAACAAAATACAGTCTATCAATAACAGCAGTAACAAAATAATATTACCTAATAATAGTGATAAAATATAATCTATCAATAATATTAATAACAAGAAGAAAGATTTAATTATCACTATTACAAGATATTGTATTACTCTCAGTTTCCTCTATCAATATTTTTATAAGATACTAATCCAAATCTATTCTTTTACTAGTTCTCTTCCTCCACTATTACTACCAGTGACATCATCTTTTTTTGAGTAAGTTTTCAAATATAAGATAACATTAATGAATATTTTAATGACTATACTTTACAAGAGAATTTTATTATTATTAAGATTAAAAATAAACAAGATCCATCTTCAGAGAGAACTTATCAATGACATACTTTCACATATGATCATTAAGATGCTTATAATTCTAAGAAGATTATAATTCTGAAAAATCAATAAAATAACAAATTAAAGTAGTTTGATTGCACTTGGCATATTAATGTAACTTTCCTAAAGAAAGCTGTAATTATTAGTATGACATCATTAGAGCTTAACCATAATTATCCACTCATTCTTATAACCAATCTGTATGTTGTAAAAAATCAGATCTTACCTGAGATCATTTTACAAGAAATTCACTTTTACATAGTCAAAGATAATCTTGATGTAATGATCTAGCATCAGCTTCTCTTCACCAAGTTTCTTCATATCACAATATTTCTATGTGATTTGCAAAATTAAATATAGAAATATAAGATAAAAGACTGAAAAGAAAATGATATAGCAAGACTTCTAAAATATTTACTTATCAAAAAGGCTGAGAAATCAGGTTGAGAGATATTTTGAGAACTTGATCATGAAATGAATAGTCTGAATAAGTTGTTTTAGATATTATCAGATCAAGTCCAATGATGAATTATCTATTATAATATTATACTAAATGACAACACATATAAAACAAATTAATATAATATATCACTTTTCTTATTCATAGCTGTTAATAACTATTTTTATATCTGTCTTGTTATCTAAGTTCTGGTTAATGATGAAACAAAAGAAATATATGAGTAACTTCTTTCTTCTACTTTATAAGTCATAAACTATACTCTGTGAATTTTTGTTATTGATGCTGATCTCAGTATGAATATTACTATAGATAGTCAATATAGTGATATATATCTACTTCACTACATCTACCATATTTCACAAAATCTTCTATATAATCTCAAAGCTCCTCTTGATAATACCTTCATTAACTTTTTAAGAGATTTTTATATGTGTCAGAACATTCTTTCTCCTATTGATTTTGATTCTCAGTGATATAGTCTTATTAAAATATATCTTAGGATAGCTAGTTACCTTAACTTGGAGCTCTATTCTAGCAAAGAAAGATGGGCTAAGACATATACAACAAGATTCTTTACTGCTAATATTTCATTAACATCATAGATTGAAAGCAAAAACTTGATAATAAAGAACAATCTCCAAGATTATTCCAATCTTTATGAACTTGTAACTATTTTGAATTAGGAGCTGTGTGATAAAACATAATATATTAATCATAGTGAATGGCATTATGTTAACATAAATGTACAATTATGTAACCTTTCTAGTTATGTAATATAATATATCCAGATAATACACAAAGAAGAATCGGATATAGTATTATATCAGGAAAATTCACACAGAAGATTCAAGATATAAGTGAAGATATTTGA